GGGGTTGGGGATGGGGGAGGCAATATGCAGCAGTGTCTGCCTCTAGGTTGTTAACTCACTTTGCTCCACTATGCAGTCGCCACTGGTCACAAGGGATGCAATCCTGTACAGCACCTACTCACTTAATGAATTACAAATTGTAGCATTCAAAATTTGATAAAATGGTTTTAATACCAGAGATCAACTCCTTCATCATATTTCCTTGCTCCATACAGCAGTTCAGGGGCTCTGTACCATCTGTTTGTGACAAAAAAAAAGAGAAGGAAAGTCTCTATAATAACAGCTGCTATTGGACACAAAAAATACTAGGTTCTACATGATAATAACTCCAACCTCAGACCTTTGGATTTTGCAATCCATGTGATGACCATCATCAAACTACATAGAGTCTGTTGGGGGCCATAGCAATAAGCTTCTTGCTTACTACCAGGTTCAGCTAAGTCAGAGCATTTTGTGTCTAATCCTAGTTGTTATTTCAACCATATACATATATTTTAGAAAAGTGATTAAATAAACAAATTATTCAAAAGCTTTATTGCTTAAATCAAACCTTGTAGCCACTTGATGACTGTATTGTCTGTTGCCATCATTGGAAAATACCCTAGCAAGACCAAAGTCTGCTATCTTAAGGTGTCCAGTAGAACTGATGAGCAAGTTTGCAGGCTTCAAATCCTACGAGGAAAGAAGTATCACAGGGGTTACAGTAGCAGCCCAGTAGTGGGTAGATCTTCACACTAGTAATGTGCTGGCTACCAGCTAGTAGTCTTTACACAAATATCATTGTACAGTCCTCATATACATGCATTTCTCATCAAATTGGTCAACTTTTGGCAACAGCAAAGACACATAAATATGAATAGACATTAAAATGCAGGAAAATGCAACTGTAAGAGTCTACACCTTCAAAATTTCCCATTGTTTATGGCGAATATTTTTGATATAATAATCTTTTTCTTGCAGGAAAACTTGAATAGCTTCCATCACTCACCATGTGCAATTAATAGTGGGCCTTAGCATGAAGATTTGACCCATATACTTTTTAGCTGTCAACATTTTTTACATTCATGTGTATCTCAATAGTAATAGATTCCTGTACATACCCTATGCATTATAGAGTTCTCATGGCAAAACACTACACCTTTTAACAACATCAACATGTAGCTTTTGATCTGAGCCTAAAAAAAAGGATTACATACAGTACATGTCAGCCTACTTGCAGATGATTTCAGTAAATGCTCCACAAAATTTAGTCCCATCTCCTTATTGAGTAAAAGTTGTTATCTGATCTAACACTAAATTCTTTAAACTAATTTATAAGGAAATGAATAGCGGCCAGAGGAGAGAATTAACAATTAGATCTTGGGAATTGAGGAGTTAAGGCAGAGTCAAGTAGGTGTATGTGTAGGCCTACAAGCTCATTGCTGCCACAGTGTATCCAGTTTACTATAGCATGACATGACTATGAGCAGCACATGATTACATTGCTCTTTCTTAAGTTAAAGTCCATTCTAATTTGCTGTTACCCATGGATTCGTACTCATAAGTGGAAAGTAACACTTTGAGAATAGCATCTTTAATGCGTCTCATGTACTTACCCAAAAGCACAACTAAATGAAATAGTTTGAGCCTAAACCAGACCTTTTAAAGGATAGCTACATTTGTGCATTCCAGCATTCTACCCACTACCAATGTAAGATCACTGCATCTCCCTGTTTAGAAAAATTAATATAATGCACAGTATCTCTGCTACAAACCTCAGTCAAGGGTCTGGCAGAGTTGCGCAGGACTTCAGACAGATCAGAGAGCATGTACTCAAACACCAACACAAATCCAGTCCCATAAGGGAACACATCAATCAACTTGACAACCTGATCAAGGAGAGCCAAGAAATAGGTTAGAAATACAATCACAGAACTGTAACTTCTTTGCACACTGTAAAATACATTCCCAAATTCCATTTACATGCATTTGCAAGGAAGAAGAGGAGATCTCATGCAGACATGTATTCTACTCAGAATGATCAAGGTTGGGTCCAAACCCTGAGTGAGGTCACTTGCAGGCAAGACATTTCAGTCATCATCATATACCACCAAGAATATCTATGGTTACAGGCAAACTGTTAACCCTCTATATCCTAACATCTGTGTATATTCTCCATACTGTTCTCTATAAATTTCTTACGGTGCTGACAAGGAGAATTTGTTTAAGAATTGTGACCCTAATGGGTGATTCATGGGTGATAATAATTAACCCTTTAACTCTCACAAGTGACCAAGACAGAATTTCTCCTTACAATACTGATACAATATCAAGCAGAAAAGTAATGAGAATAAAGAAAAATATCAGTTAGGGGATTAAAAGTTGATACAATATCAAATTCTCCAAACTAACATCACAAGAACTGTATGGCAGACAGTAAGGAGAATTACTAATGGGTTAATGCATGTGTAAACTCTACATACTTACATTTTGGTTGTCTTCTATTTCTTGTAATGCTTTAATTTCTCTAAGTTCAAAGTAATGAGAATTACTAATGAGATCTTGGGAGTTAACTGATCTTTTAACTGTCCTCTTATTTTGTCCAATTACAAGTATTACGCATACACCAGGGATGTAGATAATAGCCGGAAGCCGAGAAAATTACCCAGCTGTGAACACGATTTTTCCAGCTGTGAAGCACTACTCTTCTCTCCAAAATGTTTTTAAATGTTGTCAGAAGATTGTTATTTATTTATTTCATTTGTTTACACCTTCAAATCTAGGTATAGCGTGCCAAAGGGATGCTAGAGTGGGCCTTCGGCCCAAATACTTGCCTATAATTGCAAGATTCCTGCCTGTTAAAAACTTTAGCTACATCCCTGTACACTATCCTATTGGTGCTCAAATCAAGCTAGTGATAGCTAATCACGTTCGATAATTTTATTATAGTTTTGATTAAGAAAATAGTAGTAATAATATAGATTGCATTTGGGGCTATGACTTTGTTTTACAGAAATATGGGGCTGTGGGGAAATCTCTGCTGTCAAATTGCTATTGCAACCAGAAAACAAATAACAGCTTCTAAATCTATGCAAAAATAATAGCAACAGGCCAAATAAGACTATGAAACCTCAATGCAGTATTTGGTATTCCGTCCTCAATCTTTCTCAATGGAACTTTCTTTAAAGCAACAACTTCGCCACTCTGTAAAAATGAAAAATGAATTACCACACGAATAAATTATGAAGAGACTAGGAAGAAAAATCAACTTACAGTTATCTACTACAGAAAAACCTGGATGAACATTTTAAGTTATTTTTTTAACATGCCATATGATGATAAAATCTACAGTTCATGTGATGCCAACGATCATGTGTGATCTATTAATGGGGCTTCTGTGCTTTGACATTTCATTTCACAGTACTAAGATTCCAGTCTCGAACGAGTTGAAAATTTTTCATTAAGCTCTTCATTGCCAGCCATCATATAGTTACTTTTATTTTTTGAAGCTTGTCTGGCTAAAATGCCAGCACATTCACACAGTGATCTGCCTGACAGTCGGATATAACTAACCTTAAGTCGAATAAATGCAGATCGAGACAGATTACTCATGTAATAAAACTCAGAGAATTAAGCCTGCACTGTGTATGCTAGAGAAATATTTACCTCAATGTGCTTAGCTTTGAAAACAATTCCATGAGCTCCCTCGCCAATGTTTCCAAGGATCGTGTACTGTCCGCAGTGTTCCATGACAACAGATCAAAACAGATCGTCCCGTTTAAACTACTAATGAATCAAAGCTTTCCACGATAAAATATAAAACCATTTTTTCTCGAAGTCTAACATTGCCATCAGATTTAATTACGAAAGATGGACAGGTTTGTCCCTAGCCATGAAAGCAGAACAAAACAACTAAGGAACATGAAGAGGACGCCATTTTCAATGATGCAAAGACACTGGGATCGAAAGATATCAAGGAAGTCTAGAAGATAGTTAGTGCATTCTTATCGGACAGCGGCTTTAGGAAGAGTTCATGCGCTCTATTACCTACGTGTTGTTAGAGTCAGTGAACGAGGATGTATGTGGCTAACACTTTAAGCGCTAGAAGCATTGTGAAGACAACTTTTTCTGAATGGAGGATTTTTCCTTAACCTCCACGTGTTTCTAAAGTTTTCAAACTGAGAAGTGCTCGCGTTTAAATAGCCGTTATGTTGTGTTTTGTGGCGTGTTTTGTTGTGTTGCAGAAATTTAGTGTAATGCTGTTGTACCACCTCGTATTCGTAGTTGTGCCGTGCTGTGTTCAGCTGTAACGTTGTTTGTAAGCACTTCGTTGCTCTGTAGTTTCGTTTGCACCTGTTGTTGCTTGTGTATATTGACTCTGAACTGCCGATGATGACAAAAGGCGAACCAGACTTCAGGGATGGTGAAATTCATAGTTCTGAGGCAGAATTATGTTTAGACTTCAGACTTGAGATCGCTTCTTGTATGGGCGGCCGTCACCGCCAAAAATACAGGCATAATAAATGGTTTGTAAAAAAAAGGAATGGTCTAATTGTCTCGTAAGTGCTAAAACATGAAACGACCTAAAACCACCTAAAACCTCCTAAAACCACCTACAACCACCTCAAGAATTGGTAGTTACTAAAACAAGGAATGACCTGAAATGACCTAAAACGACCTAAAATGACCCAAAATGATCTAAAATGACCTCGAGTGTTTTTAAAATGAAACGCAGACTTTTGTTTTTGGCTTGTCGCGAAAAATTTCTAATTTTATTTTACATGTGCTAGCTTGCAGAGCAGGCTTAATTTTGGCGAGTGAGTGTTAAGTAATTTCATAACGAAGATTATGGCCGCCATCTTTGATTTTAATGGCAGAAGGCTGGGGAGAGTAAAAATTTACACCAAGGGGGCGGTCGACGGTCAAAAATAAGGAGAGGGGTGGGGGCAGGGGAGTGAAGATTACAAGTAATTCAAGTATTCGTTAAACTCGAGCGACACTAGCTTGGAGATTCCCTTATATAGTTCAGGCTTAATTTCTTCGTGCCTTAAAAGCGCATTAATCGCTTCTCTCCATTGTTAAGTAGCAATGTTCTTCATCAATGTTTTTGTTAGGGAATCTCTGGGAATTCTCACAGTCACGTTTCTAGACGGATTCATAAACACGATTTTTATACCATCGTTTAAAAGATCTTCCACATTCATATGACTAAACATCTCGTTTTCCTGTACCAACAAGGCAGACAAGGTATTCACAGCGTTTTCAAAGACGAGAGACTTTTTCGATCGCGTGAGAGGAGGAACTTCCCTCAACGGAGTCTTGCCAATTGGAGAACTAACACGTACAGATTTTGATTTCCTCCACGGTGGACTAGCTTTATCTGGCGTGTCAAGGTTTCTTTTGCTAGTTTTCACTGGAGTAGACTTCGTTGCAGTCGCGTTCTTGACAAAGTGGTACAATTGGCCTAAATTTTAGAATCTTACGGCCACATGGGTTGCAAACACGATCTGAAAATCTCGAGCTATCTTGCACCAAGGAAAATCCAACTTGACGAAAAATTTCGCTCAAAACAACTACAAAACACTCCTTCCGTTTCGAAGGTTTGAAAATATTTTCTGATGAAGAGTGCCTTTGCTTGGGGAGATTTCCGAACTGAATTTTGAAGGAAACTCCACAAAGCCTACAGTTGTCACTTGCACTCTTATCGGACATTACGCATTATGTAGCTAGATTTGACGGCTCGGCTCCACGTGTGTTTGTTTTTGCCGGAAGTCATTGTCAAAGGCTTTTAAGTAAACTCATTTTTATTGGTTACCTTCTTGTTTCCGGAAATGCAGTGAAGCGCAACTAATCAGGCGGCGTATGGCATTTTAACAGCCTCTTCGGGCAGGCGTCTTTTCTCCCTTCCCCCGCCCCCTACCCCCACCGTCCATTCTAACTGCAAATCAAAAATGGCCGGTCGAACAAACGATCGCTAGCTTTTAGCGTTAGCTCGCACTAACAAGACGCCTACCCTGCAGGCTAGACATGATCCGATCCATGATCCGTGATCCGATCCGTGATCCAATCCATGATCCGATCCGTGATCCAATCCGTGATCCGGTCCGTGATCCAGTCTGCAAACTCAAGTCGTTTAAGGACATTTTAGAAATTAAGCAAGGTCATTTTAGGTCATGTTGAGTCGTTTTAGGTCATTATAGGTCATTATAGGTCATTTTAGGTCATTTTAGGTCATTTTAGGTCATTTTAGGTCATTTTAGGCCATCTTAGGTCATTTTAGGTCATTCCTTGTTTTAGTAACTACCTTGTTCAACAACCACCTACAACCACCTAAAAAAACATCCACAGCCACTCGCAAACAATCTAAAACCATCTAAAACAAGGCATAAATGTCAAAGGCGAGACGACAACATGTCACGTACATGAAATACGAGAATCGAACAAAACCTCCACCTCCCCCTGAAATCTTACTCTCCCTGGTCCGTTGTAAAATCAACCATCGCACGAAATGAAATGCAAGAGCATGCTAATTATATTTTATATCAGCCGTGGCTACACACACCTTGGGTTTGGGGCCTTACGGAGGGTAAATGGCTTGGGTTTGGTTAAGTTCATGTTTCATGTTACCCTTGGGGATGCGGTTACACAGTTAGCTGAACTGTTTGTCATTTCGACACTGAACCATTTCAGTTAACAATTCGCCAATCGTGTTTTTACTGAATCAGTTCAACAATTAAGGGTGGCTACACAGTTTCTGAATTCTATAAACCATTTTTTGTTTGAATATTTCATTTCACCAAAGGCGACTTGTCCATTCGTATTTGAAATAAATCTCTTGAAATAAAAGAAGCCGTTCTTCAAAAGACAATTAGACCATTTCTGTTTAGTACAAACCATTCATTATGCCTGTATTTTTTTTAGCGGTGACGGCTGCCCATACTTTTCCCCAAAGAGAGGCTGCATTCTAGTTTCACACTACTTTTGAAATTAACCATTTTGATACGCTTATTAAAAGTGTCTAATGTTTCAGACGATCGAATAGATTTGTCGAGTTCGGACTTAATGACAGGGCGTAAATAAGTCAGGCAATGTTTGTCATGTATAGGCAACAGTAGGAAATTACATCTGGGTATGGCGAAATAAGATTTTTTGAGGCGATGCTGAGAATCGGTAACAACAATAAGGCTGTAATTTAAGGAGGCGCCAGACCATTTTTAACTTTATACGCTGTGTATACACTTTTCATTATTATTTTTATCATTATTTTCCATTTTTTCTACTTTTCCATTTTTCTTCCAGCCGAACTGGTTTGTACATATGCTAAGCTAAATATTTATGCAAAAAAAACTAGTGTCATAGGTTAGTCTGAAAATGTGGAAATGTTTTCTGGCAATTACTGCGCCCAAACTGTTCCGTTGTAAGACAGACGTGAAGAGTGCTGATAGAGGGAATCCACTGGGACATTATCCCTGGGGAGTAAATGCAAATTATGCTCTCGTTAATCCACAGGCCAATTCGAAAGCAAGCGAAGAACCAAATAAAACCAGCGTTTTTGTGGACAAGAAGCCATTTCTAATCATAGTTCTTACCCCAAGATCTTCCCTAGAAGATATTGTTTAGGAAAGTCTTAACAGCATGCAAGACAGAATTAAAAATACGGAGGCTTAAATTGCGTGTGTTAACCTCATTATAAATTAATAGACTAGTGTGTTGGAGAGACCCAAGACACCAGACCTCTGGCACTGAATCCAGAACGCAACGCATGCACAGTTGTGAATGCATTATTGAAGAAAGACCACGAACGACCTGAGGTATTTCGATAAATCTCTTCGACATCACACTCGCCGCAATGGCTCAAGCTATTAGAGATTTCTTGAAGAATCATTTGCCTTCGCCTTTGTTTGGCGGAAGAAATAGAGAACGCCACGAGAGCAGGGAGTATCTTCACGTTGAAAATCAAGGAGAAAGCGATGAGGATGAAATAGTTTACCCGAGCGAGGAAATGACCAAAGCTAACGAAAAGGAGTCTTCAAAAAATACTTCGGCTCTACAAGCAGCCTGGAATGTATTAAACTTAATACAAGGTAAGTTTCAGAATTATGATGTCTTACAATTGTTCTCCCAATTCTCCGGTCGAAGAAAAGCTGATATTAATGGGGGAAGGAAATGGCTTCATCGTTATTTTTCACCAGAATTTTAATCGCGGTCAGCCTCTCCCCTGTGGCAAATGTTCCATGCATCAAATTATTGATTTTTTTGCCGCCGGATATTCTCGATCGAAAAACATAGTTTTTTTTATCTATGCAACATGTCTACGATGGTATGTATGCTGAATGATATATTTTAAAGTCTCGACCGAGTGAATTTTAATCCAAACCATTGTTGGGAAAATGGAAGAACTTCTTTCCAATTCACTTGTTTGAACTGAACTAAATTCTGATCTAATTTCTTATTATCTTAGCCGATGGAAAAACTGGATGATTGGCTTGTTTTTGATAAAAATTGTTTAAAATCAAAATTGTGTAAGATGAAAAAGTTCTGATTATCTAAATAAATGTATAGAAATTAGTTTGCTCTCAGATTTGGAGCTATGACTGGTTTTCTCCGGTTTTAAAATAACTCGTTCTTCTGTATCTGTTATAAATGTACCGATTACTCGATGGATTATCGCAAACTAAAAATATAAAATTTGTTCTGGGAGACATTCGCCAACTTTTTAAGACTGGAAAACATTTCCCTTTTTAGGCTTCTATCTTTCATTATTTAGGATATCACGTTTTTTTATTCATCCAAAAATTGAAATTCACTTCCATACAAAGTCAAAGACAGCAGCAATGTAACGAGTAATTTTTTTAGGCTCCGAAACTAAAATTCAAAAGTAGCTCAGAAATTTGCCTTTTAGCTCCCTTCCGAGCTGAAGGAAATTCCGACGTAGATTCATCATTGTAAGATTCTTTACAAATTTTCCGTTCCTATCTTGTCTTTCTGATATGAACCAGCGCCGATTTAAAAATCTTTTTTTTTTTTCAATTGACGACTCAGTTCCTGTGTTGAAATCAAAACATTTCAATGAGATGGTTTTCTTCATTTAAAAGCTAACTCAATTTCTTTTATTCTTATCGAAGAAACACATAAATAATTAAGGTGTTATGGATAATTGTACAAAGGCGGGTTTGAAGAGCAAAGGGTTGTTTCCGATAGCTAAGAAAAAAAAAGCGATTTTTTTATTAGCGTGGGTGTTCATCACTACATTAAAGAAAAACAATTTCGTGGTAAATCAATTAAATATTACTGAATACCTGTCCACTATTAATTAAAAGCAATGTTTATCCTTTCTAAATTCGAAGGCTTCAGATCATAAAAAATTAACCACGTTTGTTTTTTCCTTTTGACTGAATTTCACAGCTGCGATCACAAAATTTCACATGAAAACAACAGTGTGAGCCATCCAGTAACAAATAAAAGGCAAACAAAAAAATAAAACTTGATAAAAACCTTGCTGTTCTCAAGTCCAAAAGATCTCAGGAGCTGAATGGTTTAATTAAAGTCACAAAACTAATTAAGTCAAAGATAAATTTTTCCTGGCGAACGTTACCCAACTAAATTTAAATATGATGTTTTACAAACTACTTTTGATTTCAGTATTTCGGAAAATTTCTCGTTAAATTTCTTCCCTATACTGTGGAGAAAGTTACCCTAACAAAATTAGAAAGTGTCTTTTTTTTTTAGCAAACTCCCATTCAGTGATCGTAAAATTTAAAAAACAAATTCTCTTTAAGATCTTCAATATCTTCAGCGTTGCTAGATCGGATTTCAAATTTCGCCCTTAAGAAAAACACCTTTTGTTAAATTCACCAAGACTTAAATAATTCAAAGACATGATCTCAATAATGGAAGATTCTTTGCCACTGAGACATCGCCTTAAGAAAGAAGAGCACAAAAACGAGGTCACAGCTGAACGGAAAAATAAAACAACAGATCGATATATTTGGCTTCCTACCATCAACTAGTAATACTCGATATCGGGGGTGGACTGGATTAATTTCCGTTGTGCATAAAAAGCGACAACGAAGAAAATCATTGAAGAAATACCAAGCAGGAATAATTCAACAGTTATTCGCCGAAGGCGAAGTGAATATTGTTGAATAATTCCCGAGACGAAGTTGATGGGATTATTCAACAATTCATGTTCACTGACCCTGAGGCGATTCATTATTTAGATATAATTCCTCAGGTGCTTTCAAATACTGCTTTGAATTCGCTCTGTTGTTGATACTATTCTGTTACAATTGTTTTAATTACTCGTATCGAGATAGGCAGCCAGTCTCCACTAAAATTTAAAAGGTTTATATAAACGCGTCAGAAGGAAATTCTATTGCCAAGAGTCTAGAAAATACTACTAAGTTTGGCATAACACTTTTCAAAAGAAATGAATGGAGTTTTGCCGATTGAATTAACTCTTCCTCGTTACCATTGACAAAACGCGAGGCAGCCATTTTGAAATCTAGCGCTTCAGATGATAGTCACCTTGCGCGAGGTGATTTTGGCGAAATTTGACGCAATCCCAGACCATTAGCAGCGTGCGTATCTCTACAATCACCGGAGCAATTAAGCTAAAAGCTCTCACTGGCAATCCGATAGCAGGTTTTAAATGAAACTGCTGGTACTATTTGCTGTACAGTTGAGTTTATTTGAATTATTTTCAACCATCAGGAACGGGAACCCTTGGCGTCCCATTTGCTGTTATGCAGGGGGGGTACATGTCTCTGGTGGCCATTGTTATCATCTCAGTAATCACTAACTACACAGGGAAACTTATCATAGAGTGTTTGTACGAAAAGCCGTTCAATGGTCAAGGTGCACGAGGAGTTCGAACGAGGAACAGTTACGCTTTGATAGGTAAGGTGCAACGATGTAGAAATACCCACTGCAGTCATGTTGATCGTATTTGTTTAATTTGTTGTTGTGAAAATGTTGAATATGAAGGCGATATTCATAGCCATGATCACCACTTACGTAGTGGTGAAAATAAGGCCTGAAGAAAATTCAGGTCTGTACGGGATTTGAACCCATGACCTCTGCGATACCGGTGCAGTGCTTTACCGACTGAGTTAACAAGCCAACCGAGAGCTCGTTGTTATTTTGGTTCCAAATAAACCCGTGAAGTGGTGAATCAATGACTGTGATTACATGAAAATCGTATACGTGAACTGCGGATGTGAAAATGTTGTTGCTGTTGATGTCATCATTAGCATCATCACTAACATTGTTATTATCCAGGTTGTAAAGTTGGACAACACGAAGTTCTGTCACCAAATATACATAACTATAACAAAATTTGAGAGCCAAACTTGCCATTGGTCGGACGTCTTCATGAAAAACAACAGTTAACTCGCCGAAATGCGCACACACGCGTACACGTTTTTGGCACTAATAGGACCGTGTGCGCATCATGTTTGTCATTGAACAATGTAATTAGACAAAACGCGTCACGCGCGGGCGCTGCCGTCGCACATTCGCCGAGTTAACAGTTTCCTTTTATGAAAACGTATAACCAATTCAGATTTCATTATAGTTTTCATTAATGGGTATCAGGACTTCTAGTCGTTCAATTCTATTTGTAATCGTACTTGTATTTAACAAATCAAACTCCCGCTCTGTGGTCTTCCGATTTTGTTAATCACTCGTTTGATTGTAGAGCACACAGTCTTAATAATATTACTAAAGAGTATCATGTTAATGATATTGTGAGTAATTACAATAACATTATTACTTTATATACTTCATTATTATTTAATATACTTCTGATTTTAGGTCAAGCATGTTGGAAAAAGTATGGTAGTGCTGTAGTATGCGGCGCTCAGGTGATGCAACTCGCTTGCGCATGCGTCCTTTACCTGCTTCTCGTCGCCGACTTTTTCAACGACTTGTTTGAGCACCATGCCCTCTCGTATTCCTTGTGGACCGTCATTGCGGGTGTTCTTCTGCTCCCGTCAGTCTTCCTGAATCATCTTAAACACGTCTCTTGGCTCAGCATGTTCAGTGTTGTCGCTCTTGTTATGGTGTTTTCCTCAGTCATCGGGTATGGCGTGACACAGCGTTATGAATGGGATTTCAACCTCGGCGTGACAACGCTAGAGGGATTTCCCGTAGCATGGGGAATTATCCTGTTCAGCTTCGTGTGTCATCCTTATCTGCCAGGCATCGAAGAAACCATGGAAAAACCAGAAGAGTTTAATAGTATAATGAACTACTCTTTCTTTGCTTCGGCTGTGACCAAACTAATTTACGGTTTCATAGCAGTTTTAACCTTCAAAGGACAAACCCAGCAAGAAATCTCTGAAAATCTCCCACCAGGGGCTCTCCAGAATACAGCCAACGCCCTCCTGGGGTTCAACGGTCTGTTCTCGTATGCCCTACCCCTGTTAACCCTCATTACAATTATACACAAAGCGCAGATTTCGTGTATCCCTCCATGCTTTCCCGACGAGAAGCATCCATTGTCCATCAAGGAACGCGTTATGATTTACTCGCTGCGATCTGTCTTTGTGGTATTTACTGTAATGGTTGCTGTGCTCCTTCCACAGTTCTCCTTGCTAATGGCGGTAATTGGTAGCATATCAGGTGTCCTACTTACTTTGGTTTTCCCCTGTCTTTTCGACATTATGCTTCACCTCGAGCAGATCAGTACCAGTCGTTACGTCATCGACTTACTCATCGTCTGTGTGGGGGTACTGTCGGGCGGTTTTGGTTTGGTGTTTTCACTTATTGCGATAACAAAATTATACGTTTAATAACTTTTCCAATAATGATATGTATTACACTAATGGGAACACGGGGATACTACGGTTGCAGTATAGCCTTTGCAGTAAGGATGTCTTGCAGTACAGGCGTCTTATGGAGAAAAGCGGGTAAGCGCTGCAAGCTCACTTTAAGAGAACGAGCCGCCATGTTTTTTCAAGATGGCGGCCAAACGTTTTACGAATGAATCCCGAGCGGTCGCTCGAAAAAATATGCCTGCACTGCAAGTTATGCTCTGGGAGAAGTTATGGTTTAGGCTCCAGTCAGTGGAAACATCAGGAAAGCATGCACCAGAAATTTAACTATTCATCACCGTAACTTAGCGTCCATACGGAACTTGTATTAGAGTTGCAGATAGACGAATGTTTGCTTAGAGTTAGGAGAGCAGTGCAAGCACACGAACTTCTGTCAAGACAGCTCTGCTATGTTTCACTTCAACTGACAGAGAGCATTTAGTTTGAAAGAACTGAGAGACTTTGTTCGAATAGTTGATCAAATGAATTAAAACAACTTCATCAATCTGAATGGTGCTGTTAACAGAAAGCCATAACCATTAATGTACAAGGCCGGTGTTGGAAAAAATATAAAGTCTGATAGTATTTAAAAACAACAAATACATGACCGTGAGCACTGTGTCGAAAGCAACATTGAAACTTTAACTCAAGGAAAAACTTGGGAGAATTACCTTCTCTTCATGACAATGAGCTGTTTTCAATCCCTCTCTGATGCAGTAACTTTCTGTGAAACGACAACCTCCTCTTCAAAAAAACCTGTGTTTGATTCATTCATTTGAAGGTGTCACCCTTCATCACCAGGAAATGATTTTTCAGTCATCTATTCACAAAAGCCTTGTTGCTAGGCCGGTTGCTACGTTTTTTAATAGTTCCTTCTCCCTCCCCTCCCCTCCCTCCCCAAAAAATCGCCAACTTATCCTTGGCAAGGAAAAGTCGACTGAAGACATTTACTAGGAGGAACGATCATAGGTACTTCAGTATAAAATTTCTTTCTTTCTTTATTATCGTCTCTGTATGAAGACTTTGAGAACTATTCAGCCAGAATGCATGCAATTAAACATTTTGTACAACCAATATTGAGTACGCTGTTAGACAAATCTTCAAGTTCTGTTTTGTTCTTGTAGTTCTTGTTGTTTTTTTACTTTTTGGTACCTCCGAAACTATCGCAAGTATATCACCATTCTTAAAGCAACTGAAAGTATTTTTATGACTCTACTTTTTCATTTATCTCCTCTTCCTTAAATGTTCGTTTTTCTGTTTCGCATTGTAAGTCGCCCCTAACATGTCTTCACGCTAATGGCCTCGTTACACCACTCATTGCGACAGAGAATAGCAACGTAACACTATTCATTCTATCTCACGTCGCCGCCGACTTTTCCATAATTGCATTTATTCATTTATACTACTGGTGTCTATTTCCTCTTCTTTGTTGTTTCTTTTGATTTTGACATTGAGGACAAAACCATTTTCCTTTTGGAGCGTCTGTTAATCCAACACATCCGTAATGAAACCACTCAATGGGACACTGAAACGTGAATAAACAGCACAATCAGGAGTTGCTTCAACCGGTTCGTACCCAGTCTGTGTCTGTTAGTACCAGACCTATTGGTTTATTCGTACCCAGTGTGCATCAGTCCGTACCCGACCCGCTGGTCGATTGGTACCCTAACATTAAGTGACGTTCAAAATCCAGAAGGTCTCAGGAAACAAAGATCTCTTACAAACCCCGTCCCAGACCTCGTTTTTGTGAACACAACGGTCAAATGTAGGGCATACGCAAGGGGATCAATTATGAGCCGGCCGCGCGCCAGTTTCTCGCGAAAAATTTCAAAAGGAAACATAAGAAACAACCGCAAAATATGCGAATGAAGATTGAAAGTTCAAAGGAAACAAAAGCAGGGAAGAAGAAAACCGAAGACTTTTCGCAAGCAAAGCTTATCAAAATACACTTTTCATGTTAACTTACCATTTTGCTTTGAGCTTTGACAAAAAAGTTTTTCGGTCTTCAAACACCGCGACTTACCAACTTACGATTGTTTTTAACCCTTGTAAGACAAGCTGGTATTGACAGCCTGAAAGCAAGACATCTAAACAAAAAACTGAGTGGGTGCGAATGCGGGTTCTAGCAGGGTACGAATCGACTGAGCACGAAGCGTTCGTGGTTACGAAACGACTGGTAAGCTTGCAAGGAATAAAAGGGGCAATTCAAGAAGAGCAAATAATGTTTCTAAGTAACATATAGTGATCATTAACATGTTTTGAAGTTAAAACGACGTTAAAACAATGACTCACTTCAGTGTTATCACATCCCACCATTTCGCCATATGACACCTACAAGTAGACATAAATTAGAAATATGTAGGATAAAACTTGTTTTCCAAAGCTAAAGTTATCACAACAGCCAGTCAGGAAAAGGGAAAATATTACAAGGAACCAAAGAGAAAATTAATCCTAGAACAAGCAAATTGCCTGAAGCGCGGGAAAACGCGAGTGATCACGTCGCGACGACTAGTTTTAGTTTGAATCTGATTGGTCGAGAAAGTGACACGAGTTTTCTAGACCAAGCACAAAGCGAAATAAAGAAAAACCGAAGAAATCCCGGTTTACTTCCGACACTAAAAGACCTTTTTACCCACCTGATTACAGAGGCAGTAGCGTGGTTCATTGGGATCGTACACCCAGTCCGGTACAGCAGCCGCTGCAACGGCTGCCTCTTGTTCAGCGACCTGCGCCGAAGCCACTGCTGTGACTTGAGTGGAATTTTTACTTCTGTCAAAAACAACAGAGAGAATCAAAGGGTCACCTCAGTTGTCAACTAAGGGTAATGATTGAGTGTTCTATAGATTCTTGTGGCCCAAAACACCGGTTCTTATCCCGATTTCCGCAGCATTAACCCTTTCACCCCTAAGAGTGACTGACGTCTAGTTTCTCCTTTCAGTATCACTCTTGAATCAAAAGTTAAGGCCATAAGAATGAAGGAAATGATCACTTATTTATAAAACTCCATACTTTTACAGTTAACCCTAAAATTGACCAATAAGTGTTAAAATCTGGATGAAGGTAAAACTTGTTTTTTTTCGTTCGTTTGGTAAGCCTTCGACCTTCTTGCTTGGCCGTGAGACATATCTTATTTCTCTCGAAGGCCAAAATGAAGCGAAGCGCGTGTATTCGTAACCAGATGCTAACAATCGAAAGACAAAGATAAAATCAGTGAGCGGAGTGCAATTTATAACAGTGCTCACAGAACCTAACGCGACCTAAGGTGCTGACAAGGAGAGTTTGTTTACCGATCAAAAGCTTTTTTAGTTGGTGATCTTTTCCTTCATTCTCATGACCTAAATGCGTGTTTCAGAGGTGATATTGTAGGGAGAAATTAGATGCTAGTCACTCTTAGGGTTTTAAGGGTTAAATTACCGGGACTTTCGAGAAACGGGTCCCGCGGACCCTAAATACTCTTACACGAGACTCCACAAAGTGCTTACTTTTTCTTTTGTTTTGTCGATGTTGGCGCCACACTGATCGAGGCATGTACGTCACTTGGAGTAACAGGTATACTGACAGAGTTTACGTTAGTGGATGCCGGGTCAAACGGCATTCCCAGGGAACTACTGGCGGGGAGACCATTCAAACCACTAGGTGGGGTAGACAGAGTGCTCAAAGAACTTCCTGTAAAAAAGAAAATAATGATATTTTTCAAAACAAATTTTTGTGTTTTAAAAAATAACAATAAGAACTATAAACAGCCGTATGTCTAGGATATAGAGTAACAATCCAGCAAGCATCGAGTTCCGAATCGAATGAGCTCTATGAAATATTTTCATTACACATTGACAAATTCGCCGATTTCTTTTCTATAAAAATTATGTCAGCTTCCTCGTGACAAAACGTGAAATTTTGAACGAATGGCAAAGGTGCCTGTTCAGGAAAACAGCAGACTACAGAAATCAGTACACCCACCCAAGGCTGCAGCATAAGGCGGTTTCAAGGCTCCACTAGCTCTTCTACCAGGCTGCATCTGCAACGTCGTTGTAACTGCCTGCGCAGCAGCAACTGCAACTGCAGCTGATCCTGCGCCGACCGAACCTGAAGAAAGGAAAAAATATATATATATAAATAAATACAGTATGCTTTCATGAAGTTTTCCAGCCTTGTTCACCCTTAAACCTCAACAAAATGTGGTGAGAACAAAAATGTGTCACTGGTGTTCTAATCACGTTTTGGTGTCATCTGTGATATATTCCTGAACAGACCCATGGCAAAATAAAATCTATATGTTTTCCATAATAAAGACGTCATCAATGTCTCTGTTCTCCCATAGATCATTAGAGAGAGCCAATCAAAATGCGTGTGTAATTCAGTTTATGATATACACGTTGTTTAACTCTCTGATCTGATTGTTAATTCGCATCTCCAGCTGCCACACATTTCCTTGTAAATTAGTTAGGAGAATTGGGTGTTAGATCAAGATAAAAACGTCTTTCTGATAAGTGTGAGTATTCTCATTACCTGTTTGCTGGATAATGTAGGGATATTTTGGGGAGAATTTGTCTGTCAATCACTTCTGGGAGTTGAAGGATTAATCCTCTCACTTCCAGGTGGGATTACAATGGAATTTCCATACCAATACATTTTTTCAGCAGAAAGGTGGCGAAAAGAAATATACTAAAGTGAGGACACTGTTCAATTTAACAAAAAATTATCTGTCTTAAAATTGTAAGAAATGTATGGCAGCAAATTCATATCTAGATCTCAGGGATGAAAAGGTTAACCCTTTGATACCTGAGAGTGATTAGCATCTAATTTCTCCCTACAATAGCACCTCTAAATCACACAGTAAGGTCATGAGAATAAAGGAAATGATCATAGACTAAAAATCTTGATTGATAAACAAATTCTCCCAGACAGTACCAAAGGAAATTTATAGAGAAGGGTAAGGAGAATATACATACTAATGTTAAGGTGTAAAGGTTCTCACACTGCTGTAAGCTGGGTTTGCTCACCTAAGGTGTAAGATCTTGGAGCAGATGAAGGAGACTGAGGAGCAACTGATTTTGGTGATGGCGACATCTGATTGTAGGTTCCAAGGGAACCATACGCATAGTCATGCATCCCTGGGATGGACAAGTGATCGCCATTGACCAAATCAGTAGAGAGACTGTCGGGAGCTTTCCTTTCTGCAATGGAAAAGCACAGAAAGGATTTAAGTCTGAGAATTGACAAGCATAGCTGCTGTTTATAACTAACCCCTGTTTCTGTTGCATGAGGCAACCATGTGTATGGAGCTACTTCTCTGGGATAGGACTCTGGTCCATCACAGTTTGTCTGACAAATTCCAACTCATGTTGACTGGTCCAGCTCTCTGCACCTCAGTTTTCATTTCAGTTTTCTAGGGGATTGTATATGAAGGGTTGTATGGGTCACTTGATAAACTTACTAAGCCCAGTTAATTGCAATGATCCATGTATGTGGTTACTCCTTGCAGGAGAGGGTGGATTAATAGGTTCATCTAGTCTCAGAGATCCTATAGAAAAAAAAATGTATCCAAAATTAAGCCACATGTACATTGCTGGCTACATGTACCTCTACAGAGTATTAATTAACTAATGTTTCCACTTAGATACTAAAAACCCCTCTGTTTCAAAATAACAAATTTATGTTCCCTTACACTGGACTGAACTTTACTTACTTTGCTCTAAAACCTCTGTAATACCGGCATTATCTGCTTCTAATTCCATTTTGAACTTGGACAACTCTTGATCTAATTTTCTCAAGTGTCTGTCCACCTAAGGAAAGATAAAAAGGAAGCCACAGGTTAAACTTAATGCTTGTTTACACACAGTGTATGCATGCTAATGAAAATTACAATGTAATATCTATATACCCATTCTAAGAAACTACAGTAACAACAACAGCAGCAGCAACAAAAATTATGCAATGAAAATAATTGAATTAGTATAATAATCTAGCTGTGTTACCATACCAGATCATAAGTCTGTGTTGCTATGCTAACTTTTTCTTCAGCATCCTCAACAGCCTTCTGATACTCCTTAAATAAAGAAAAAACAAACAAACAAACAAAGATAAGTTTAAAGAAAAACTCCCAAAAAACCCCAAGAAGTGGAACTATCACTATTTGACTGTGCCTTTCAATGACACGGAAATTCAACAGATCAGAGATAAAATGTGATTTCATTTCCAGCTGACCTCAGGCATCACCTAATCCTTCATCTAAAAGTGAAAACAAACATAAGGATTTAAATCCTTGAATCAAAACTTGGAAACATCAACTCTTAACTCTGAAATATAGCCTGAGTTTCTCTTAGAAGCCATTTAATGCATTTCCTGTGGTGCATCTCCAGTTCCATACTTTGCGAGCATTGAAAAACTATTCCAAGTACAAAAAAATTGAAATTTTTTTGGCACACAAATAAGTCTTTATTAATGATTGTAACTTACATCTCTGATTTGTTTGTACTGTTGTTCTTTCCATTCTGGCTTTGCTTTTCGGCAGTTCATGAAAAACTGCTTCACTCTGATGTCCATGTCATCTATTCTGTCTGTAATTAGAAAAAAATGTTAAAAAATCAATTGGTGACAGTGAGAGTGACTATTCAACTGTGCATGGGAAGGTGTTGAAGATTATGCCACATCAGTCAGGTCTGCAGTAATCAAATCAAGCAATACCTGTAATTTAAAGGGGGTAAGTTTCTAAAGAAACTGAAATGCTGCATCAGTGGGAGAGTATAACAGGGTAATTTAGTATCATCAACCAGTTGATAACATAAATTGGCCACCATAGAGTTTTATGACATTTCAAGCATTAGCCCTTCGTCAAAGCCAAGAAAAAAAGGGCTAATGCTTGAAACCTCAATACATTACTTTAGTTAGAGCACACTGATTAAGTTTTGTCAAACAAAAACCAATATAATTTACAATGCCTAGTCAGAACCAAGGTTACAGGGAGCAGAAAGTTAAAACAAGTAACCCACTTAATGCTCAAGAAAATCCAAGCCAAGACAATGTGATTATTTAAGATAAAGCTTCTAATTGTAAGGATGGTAAGAGTTATCATAACCAATCAGCAAGAAAAACATGTGAAACCAGTACAATCATGGATCAATTTTAACACTCAATGAAACTTCCCAAAAGAACCTAGTGGAGCATCTAGTTAATAAAGCAATTAAAGTGTAACATAAAAACATTATTTGAGTACGTTAAAAAGTTTAATAAAGTAAAAGTGCTTCCCAAGCCATGACTCACTCTGAACCTGTAGATCCATTTCCCTCATGTCTGTGAATCTGTCTCGCAGCTCGACTGGCAGCTGCTCAATCACTTTAAAAATTAACAAACATTTTATGTTAACTTCATGGAAATGCAATAACAACAGATGGTGACAACCATCACAAGGTCATTTACAGTACACTAGGATAATCTCATACCTTAGATAACAGTGTAACAGTGTGTAAAAAATTGGAATAAGATAAATGGTAAATTTTCAGCATGAAGGCAGAGAAAAGAGACTTTTTTATAGTTAGTTACTGTAAAGGTAAGAAGAAACATCTGAGTGCCCTATAAGGAATCTGACCTAAGACCTCTCCATTTCTTGCTCTGATGCACTGCAGCACAAAGGGTCTGAAGGGTCCAGGCTTCAATTCCTCCAAGGGAACTCAGACTTTTTTTCTTAACCCATGGTCAAAACAATACAGATAAAATCTCTCTTTATAATAATGTTTTTTGAAAACCAATGATATCAATAATAATTGGTGTAGGTTTGCTGTAAGTGGAAACAATTACCCCTTTAACTCCCAGATCAAATTTGTAATTCTCGTCACTGTCAACCATACAATTCCTATAATGTTAGTTCAGAGAATTTAGTATTGGATCAACTAATTATTCCCAAATTGATGTTTTTCTTTATTCTCATCACTTATCTGTTTGATATTTTATTGATATTGTAAGGAGAAATTCTCTCTTGGTCACTCAAGGGAGTTAAAGGGTTCACAGTTAAAGTTTAAAATTTTACTGTAGCAACCATATTGTATAAAAGACAAAAATTGCTGCCATACAGGAACTTCTGAGGCCATGTTCACCATGCCCTTCGCATGCAGGAGCATGATAACAAAGAATTCCTCAAGACTGGAAAAGTAAATGATCACTCAAAAATTGTAACATGTAAGTCAGTGCTGGGGGGACTATTGGTGCACATATTTTTTGAAAGCAGAATTAGGGAAAATTATAAAACACTTTTTCCACAGAAAATGATGAAAATTTTTTTTCACTCGTCTTAAATTTATAAAAAGCAGTCATGATTACACCTTAGAGCCCTATATGCGTTCCACGATGTACTGCTTATTGATAAGCTACTGCGCATGTCCGTGATTATTCATTGTTTACAGATTTAAACACAATCGTGTTACGATGACGATCACATAATTTAGCCCAGATTTTTGCTTAAGCCACGCATCTTGGATAAAATTTCACTTTTAGAATCAAACCAGCTACTTGGTTCGTAAAGATTTCGGCATTAAATAACAAAAGCAACGCTACAAACGATCGAAGGCTTGATTGACTTTAAACGCGTTTTTATGGGATAAAAAGACTCACAGCAGTCATTTACGGCCAAGATATTACCATAAAAATAAGCTTAAAAAACCTTACACTCAACATAGTCCTCCAAATACAGCATTTTGCTTCCGTTCTCAAGTAATCTTCTAATACCTCATCTCTACCTTATGAATTTCATCATGGCGTCCATTGCACGGACGCTATAAACATATTACAACGCCTGCTCCTTAGGGAGACTGCTGACCAATATCTGCATCTTCGCGGTCGATAATTATTTCACAACCTACGGAGAGGAGGTTATTTTTCTTCGTCGATCTGAGGATATTTTGGTAGACATATTGAGAATCTTGGAAAATGAGTGCTATTTCCCGATTATCTACAAGTAGGTTTCTTTGTAAAGCCTGCAGAAGGAATACTCGGCTTCCGATGTCCAGCGCGCTAACGAAGACTTCGCATGGTTCTCGGGCGTTTGCAACAGATTCTGAGGTAAGCGCATCTTTTGCGCTCAGTTGCTGTACCTAAGAGAGCTA